ACCATAATCCATGATAGATTAGATAGATGACATTACCGTACTTCCACCAGATCCACTAAGTCACTACGAATAGTTCAGTACAGGAGGCTTTCGTAGTGATCGCGTTAGAGTCCTATTGGAAATCCTGGCTTTTAAAGGAGGTTAGACCCTCCCCACCCCTCGGTGAATAACTCCTCCTCTCCGGTTCATTTTTGAATCCCAGCCTCGCAGCCGAAATGCCACGGGGGTTTTGCGCACGGAAACCCCTACAATTCAAAAAGGTACCTTGGCTACAAGCCAGGGTCAAAAAATGATTCGGCGAGGAGGATGCCTGTCAATTACGCGGAAGGTTATATGAGGCTAGGTTCTCAACGAGACTACGCTATTCGTACCTAAGCTAGTGGATCTGAAGTACGGTAATTTCATCTGCCTGCTGTTTGCCTTATGGGTGAGACGGGATAGATGGTGGTAAGGGAGATACATTTCGGTCGGGTTGTCCATGAAACGTCCATCCTTTCAAGCTCTGAAGAAGATGAACTCACAGAACATCACGAGCGCACTCCGTTTCCATATCTGCAACCAGCAATCTAAACTCTGACGATACACCTTCATCTTCCCTCGAAGTCAGTGCGAATTTTGAACCCTTCTCTGGTATGGTTAATCGTCGCAATAAGTTTGGGTGGTGTCAGGAGGGGTGGAATGAACACGTTCACGCGTTTTCTACCACTAGTGAACCAATAGCAATCGAATTAGGGAAAAAATAACCCGTGGCAGAAACACCTGTGGGCTCATCCCATGCCTCCTGACACCGCCCTGAACGATTGCGGCGATATCAGCTCTAAAGATGATTTGAAACCCTTTCCTGGTAAGTGGGTTGCACTCCTTTACCACTGCATTCGACGCCACATACTGCCAAAGGGATGAGCAAAAACAAATGGTGAGGTTTACTACGTAAAGGAGGAAGTTATATGTATAATCACAACGCCATTCCGATTGATACCGAGAGTGGAACTATCCGAACAGTTTTGTTGAGGATCGATTTCATCCACACCTCCCCACCCCTCTTGTCGTACCAATGGGCAGCTCTCCGACTGACAGAAATACGAAGCGATATGCCATCATACGACATCGCCACTTGAGAAAGAGATTTATGTATAACAGATGGCCGCCGCGGCAGCCATCACTTTCCCTCCATCTCCAAAGTGCGCTAAATTCCGTTCACACCTACGCCTGCTAGTGCGCCATACAGGAGGGCGTTAGGACTATCATAACATCCGAATAGATTGATACCAAGAGCTGAAGCTAAGCTAGTTTCCTAGTTTCATTAGTGTCCGCTTCCTCCTACCCTTCCAGAGATATTACAGGGCCCTCTACACGAACACTCCAAGGCAGAAAGTGCACCATTTGGTTTCATTTATATGAAACCAAATGGTTTATATGAGTGAAAGATTCGAAAGGTAAATTCTTATGCTCTACAGCGCTACTGCACCACTCGCTATTACACAAAACACATCATTTCATGTTTTCAAATACTACATAGTGGAAGGCATTCAACCACTGCATTATGCCTTGTGCCTCGCTACTTTGAAATACACCTGGACGACAACTTTGTGACACTTTATCGTTCTCTATTCTCATCCCATTCCCGTGGTCCACGCCATTGAACTACCTTACCCATGGAGGCGGAACGTAATCCCCTGTTGGAAATCCACTGGCCGTCCTATGGCCAGCGGTTAACAATCTATCAACATGAAACCCGCGACGCGTTCACGGACACTACCCCGAGAACTTAGTACCAGTCGCCCTAGCTACACACCTCTTTCATTTGCTGCCGTTCCTACTCATATGCCACTACTTTCTTTCCTTCATCTTTGGTGCCCTTACCAAGCAGCCATCACAGCTTGTGTTTGCCATTCCTCTTTGTTAGCAACCAACAGCATGGCGAATTCGGCACGGCATACTTCGAATAGTAGATGAAATAAAACGTCGGTTTGCTATCTGACTTCACAGAGAGCATCACTGTGTGCCAACACATTTCCCCATTTCTCCCCTATCGACGTTACTAGGAATCTCTGACTTTCGAGCTAAAGGGGAATAAAAAACCTTATAGACCCTCACTATCCACTGGATCCACGAAAGCTAATTTTTTTCGCGTTTCAAGTAAAAACCAAGACATAATAATTGACTCGAGAAGACGTCCCCTACACTGCTCGAGGAAGTTTTTTTTTGTAACTAATGCCTACGTTTTATTGTGTGTCTAGTCGCAACGTAATCCACCCTACAAAAGCAAAAGGCTCGGAGCCCCACGAGCAGTGTACATCATCACGTTGCGAGAACTATTTGCTGAATTTAGAAACCTCAGTGCGACCCTCTTTCACGCCCTCTCAACCCTATAACCAATTTTTCTTCAAAACTGCCGCTAAAGCGAAGTAGGATCACTAAATACCTCCCACCAAATACCAGCAGCAATTTTCCCACGCCGCCAACTACGAGCTAGAGCATATTCACACTCCCCAAATAAATCGTTCACAGCGCGCCATCCAAGAGTCGAGCGTCTGAATCGCGCGAGCGACCATGACGAGAGCCGCGATAAAGAAAACAAGTACGACCCCTATTGAGTTCTACACAACGATCCAGCTCACAACCACTAGATCGGTTCATACTTTGCATCAGCTCTTGTAGTGAACGCCGGCGTTTAGAGGGACTGGGAAAGTACAAGCATGGACCTCTCCAGAATAACAAGACCTATTCTGTGGAAATCGAAAGTCGTTCAAGTCGTTCGCTGGTGTACACTGAAAACGCTGGA